AAAAAAAAAAAAAAAAAAGAAAGATGTAACCATATTACCTATAAATCCCCAAGAATGTCAATCCTAGACTGTTTCATCAGTTAGTACCTTCTGCAGTGGTTACCAAACTGTGTGTCACAAACAGTGGGGGTTTTGTGGCATGTGCAGGGCTCCTAGACCTCAAACCTGTTACTGTGTTAGATTTTATTTGAATAATAATAGAAATTTTTAAAAATCCTGATCTCCAGCTTTTCTCAAGAAATCTCCAAATCTTTTACAATAAAGCACATGATAAGGATAGTTTCAAAACTAAGGATGGAAAATTTCTTTTTAGTGATTTATACTTCATCTATTTTTATAAAGGATTTAAGGAAAATTTTTATTTATTTGTTTTTTGAAACAGAGTGTTGCTCTGTTCCCTGGGCTAGAGTGCCATGGCATCAGCCTAGGTCACAGCAACCTCAGATTCCTGGGCTCAAGTGATCCTCCTGCCTCAGCCTCCCAAGTAACTGGGACTACAGGCGTGCACCATCATGCCTGGCTAATTTCTTTCTATTTTTAGTAGAGACAGGGTCTTGCTCTTGCTGAGGCTGGTCTTGAACTCCTGACCTCAAGCTATCCTCTCTCCTCAGACTTTCTGAGTGCTAGGATTACAGGCATGAGCCACCACACCTGGCCCAAGGGAACTTTTTAATGTTAACAGCTATCTGAAATAGGACAACTAAAGATAAAATCAATCAAATTAGTTGGAAGTATCAAGAATCTAAAATGAATTAGTCATTTTGGTAGCTCTCTATTAATATTACTCTGGTACTGAAGTGGACCTAATAATTTTCTTTAAACATGTTTTTCTAATTATAAAAATAATATATGTACATTGTAGGAAATCTGGAAAGTACAGAATGGTACACAAGAAAACAAATATCCTCATAATCACACCTTCTAGACGTAATCATAAGCAACATTTTGGTATAATTTTGTCATCTTTTAAAAACATGTACATACAAGCATCCATACATACGAATAAAACTAAGAAGATAGAGTATTTACAATTTCATGTGCTGCTTCTTTCACTTATATCATGAGTGTTTACCTGTATTACATAGTCTTCAAAAACATTTTTAATGATCATTTAAATCCTGTTCCACAAAAGTTCCTTGTGATTTTTAGATACTAAAGTCTATTTTGTAATCAGGCATACATGGTTCCTAAAAAGAGTAATAATAGTGCTCGAATTTTTTCTTCATTGCTAAAGTAGGAGTATAAACAGTATATACTTATCCAATTATGGACTCAACAATTAAAAAAAACAATTTTATGTGAAGAATATCTTTCAAATATCTTTTCACATTAAGTCAATGAAAGCTTAAAAATGAAAATTTTAAGAAAATTATAAAGAGCATAAAGGAATTAGAACTTCTGAAGCATTCATACTTTACAGATGTCAATCATTAATAAATTAAGTGAAGATCTTCTCATCCTTAAACTTTGATTTGAAACATATTTCAAATCAAATAACTATAGAGACATGTATATCCATCTGCACATATACAGTTATTCAGAAATAATACCTTTGTATGACTAAAATCACAAAGTTAATAACAAGTAAAGACAAACAGAACATACCAACATTAACTTGAGGGTCATGTGTTCTACATTGCAAACATATAATGCATCAAAGTGTTAGAGGAGTTTTGTACCCAGTAACAGCAGAAGAAACCCAGATGAAAATACTTCCTCTTTAATCTATGGCTCCCTGTCCTCCCCTCCCCACATCCTAATTAGAAAACTTAGTTTTTAGCCAAAGTTAACAATTAAGATGTACAGTGGTTTATATGCTGTATTAAGATACAGCAACTTACTTTTGAGTTGTAAGGTCAAAAGCTTCAACTGAAGCTGAAAGACCATCTTCAGTGACACCACCTGCAATCACAATTTTGCCTTTATGGGCTGCCACTCCAAACATGGAACGAGGGGTTTTCATTGGAGCCAGATCTTTCCAGTCTCCTTTTTTGGGGTTGAAGATAAATACCCTGTTTGTACATTTTCTGTAAATATAAAAAACAACAAATATTCCTTTTAGAACCTTTTTTTTTTGAAAGCACCTTCACTAATAATTTGGCTTTGCTTCTCATAAGAAATGTTGGATAGCAGAGGATCAGGAAAAACTCCAAAGAATTTTTAACTTGAACATATGCCACTAAGCAAAGGACAACTCCAAATGTGGGGATCAAAACTATTTTATAATAATTATACTACGGAAAGGTAGGGTATTTTTCCTTCTAGGCAACTTGCTTAGAAGCCAAGGCACAATAAATTTTAGTCCTATATACTACTAAATTCAGTGGAAGACTTTTTTTACTCTATT